TAGACATTTGCAAGCATTCATCCATTAAATCAAATGTAAATTAAGCTACAGATGATTTTGATTTGAATGTGCCGGCCTAAACTAGCAAAAGCCTTCGTGAACAGAGTGAAATAAGTAGACCAACCTCTCATGGCTCATTCTTTTATATTCCATTGAAAATTTTACAGAAGCTATGGAAACTACCTCAGAAGGGCACGTAATCACAGAAGTTTACATGTTAACAGGCTGGCAACCTCCTTAGTCCAGGAACATAAAGATGCCCTTCATAGGACTAGTGGCCTTAAAGCTCTTAGTAATACAGCCTATCAAAACTAAAAGCATATATCCCAAACTTAGGTATATTTACAACTTACATCAGTATACCGCTCTACTAATATGTAGAGTCAAACACTTAAAAATGAAAGTCAGAAAAAAGATGAAATGAAAATAAAAGCTGGGTCTAAGTGTCTATTCTCAGTTAATGGGGTCAACACATGCCCTCCATGCACATACCCAACTTGTAATGCCCTTTCTTCAGGGCCCTTGGTTCAGTTAGCTCTTGCTGCCAGACTTCTCAGAGCATTGGTATCCTGAAGCAAAAGGTGAAAATACTACCGCAGAAGCATTACCTTGGCCGGTTAGTTTTTGCCAACTTTACACAGACTAGCACCACCTGGGAAGAGGGAACAACTGAGGAATTTCCCTCATCGCACTGGCCTGTAGCCATGCCTGTGGAGCATTTTCTTGACTGCTAATTGATGTGGGTGGTGCCATCCCTGGGCAGGTGGGCAAGGCCTGTATAAGAAAAGTAGCTGAGGAAGCCAGTAAGCAGTATTCCTTCATGGCCCTGCTTCTGTTCCTACCCTTATTTACCTCAGTGATGAACTGTCACTTGGAAGAATAAGATGAAATAAACCCTTTCTTCCCCAGGTTGTTTTTGGTCAGTGTTTTATCTCAGGAATAGAAAGCTAAGTAGGTAATACCCTGAACCCCAAATAAAAATAATCCCCAACATTCTGTGAGTGAAGAGCTATACGTTTATTAAGAATCCATCCTCACAAAAGATTTTTTAGCAAGAGTTTTCTGTTAAGCTTTGACTAGGCACACACAAAAGGGCTAGTACGGAGGGTGCATGGCTTCTAGAAACAAGATATTTGTATTCACATTTCCTTCCTTGTCCCACAAAAATCATTTCATTTTTCAGTCTTAGATTCCTTAACTCTTAAATGAGAATACAAATAGGCACCTATTGCAGTTAAAAATTCAAATATGTCATTAATGGTGATGAAAGTGTTCTATGAATTATAAAATGATATATAAAAGAAAAACGTTTCTACTTATCACTTTTTTAAAAAGCTAAACTAAAAGATAAGCATTACAAAATTGCATATACCTTGTACAAATTCAAATTTTTAAAATCCACCTCAGACCCTCGGAGATATGCAGGTGGATCACCTGTGTTCCAGGTCTCATACCAGCAGCTATTCTTAGCAAATCCTGATGTAACTGGCAGGTGTTCCCTCCTGTGGACTTTGGAGAAGCAACTGAAATATATTGGGCATGGGTTCCTAGATATATCCCAGAAGTGAAATGCACAGGAAAACAGCCCTACTGGAGGCTGCGAGGTAGGGGGTCTCAGGAGATCAGGGCAGCCTCCTCTGATTCTGTGGAGAACCCAGGCAGGCCTTTCTATTCCCAGGCACACCAGCAGAATGAATGAGCAACTGTTTTAGTTGACCAAAGCACTGTCTCAGATATGTTCTGAAAGCTGTGGGGTACCGCACCTCAGTCCAAAATCTCGTGTTCAGGAAGCCAGAGACGTCCTGCATGGATTATTAAGTCATTAAAGATGACTTACACAAACATTTTTAAAGCTTCAAAATTTATTGCTGTACATTTTCTCATAGCATTTACTATGGAAATAGTGCAAATATTTTATTTTGGACTTTATAGCACTGGAAAGATCACAAAGCTTTTGATATCTTCTGTAATCATTTATGAAGATCTATATTAAATTTATTTTTAAATTTTAAACAAGTAATCTTATATTCAAAGAGATTATTTAATACTCTCTAGATCTCCCTAGAGGAAAGAAAAAGAAAAACAGGAAGCCATCGGGCACTCTCTGTCTTGATAAAACATGTATTTGTCCAACAGTTTTCCAACTGCCATGACTCTTTGCTCACTCACAAATTCATTCAACAAATACTTATTGACAAGTTATCATGTGCCAGGCATTGTGCAAGGCCCTAGGGGCTTTAGGATGAAAAGACACCAGCTCAGCTTTCATGGTGATTACAGTGTAATAGTATAAAGAGACATGCAAAAAACCTTTTTACAATACAATAAAGTGCCTCCACAGAGGTATTTACAAAGTATAGTAGGAATTTGAATAAGGGGGGAAAAAATACATCTGCCTAGAAGAATCAGGGGCAACAGCACAGAGGAGGTAGCTAGTGAACTGAGATTTGGCCAGTGACCAGTAACTTGCCATGTGGACAGGCAGGCAAAGGGAACAACAGGTACAAGACACGGAAGCCCAGAGGAACTTTGAAAGAGACAGTAATGTGGTTTTTCTTGGAGTGAAACTGCAGTGGGACCGGAGCAGAGTGAGGCAGCTAGAAGACCATGAAGAGCCTTCTGATCATACTTCCACATACTTAGGATACATGTATTGAGTGCTCACTACATACAAAGCAATGAGCTAAGTGTGAGGAGTATAACAGGGAGTAGACAGCCTTGCTCTCATGGAGCTCACATTCTAATAAAGAAACAAGAATCAACAAGTAAATGCTACAGATTAAGGAAAGTTCGAAAAGGAAATAAACAGGGTACTGCGGTGTAAGTGTAGAGAGTCAAGTTATCAACAAACACCTCTTGAAAGCAACCAGGATAATGACAGCATTCTCTCACACATACATCCACTAAGTGCCAGGCACTTTACAAACAGTATCTTATGGAATCCTCACAACAACTCTATGAGGTAGGTATTATTATTCCTGTTTCACTGAGGGGGAACAGACTCAAGGAGACGGAGTACTCTAACACTACACACACATGGCAAGCCCAGGTCTGAGACAAAGGCTTTCCTAATTTCAAAACACTTGTTTTTAAAATTGAAGCTGCATACAAAGGGAAGCAAGGAATTCTGAGCAGGAAGGGGATGTGATCACCTCTGCCTGTTTTGAGAATCTCTCTGATGATATGGAGGAGAAAAAAGAGGAATAGAGAGAGGAAGGGGAAGGGGCAGTGGACAGATGAAAGGAAGCTATTCCAAAGTCCAGAGGGAAGGGAGAAGGTTCACTTAAAGTTAGTGACTGTGGCATGAAGAAGGATGTGCCTGTGAGACGTGTGGTTAATATGGTAGTTCTAACAGGATTGACAGATGTTACAACAAAGGGAAGGAGTAACATCTGGTTTCACTCCTAGAATTTTACCTTGGCTAACTAAAGTCTGCTTTGACCCAAGTTGAAGAACACAAGATGGTGGTAGGTTGTTGTGATGATATGATGAATTTAATCTTGGACAAGTCCTGTGGGTATACTGGGAACATCATAGACTTATGAGGTGGTCCCAAGGATGACACCCTATAAATGGCTTTCACACCTTGTTTTGTACCTGAGAAAAGTATACAAGGAAAAAAGCCTAAAGCTTTGTAGTGTGTACACTGTGATTTTGCTTTTAAGAGTTTGTTTACAAAAGTATATATAATTGGATAGATTATATTGTACAAAGACTATATAATCACCAAGACCAAAACTGCTCAAGCCTTGATTGCAAATGGAGAGTCATGGGCTTGAAGCAGGATGGTCACTCTAATAGTCACACCAGCTCTTTAGGAGATAGCAATATTAGCTCCCCTCACACCCAGTGAGCTACTCTGATGTGCCTACAGTAGGGACCCTTTGCCAACAGTCCTTCCAGAGATTGCAATTTCCCAGCAGGGCTCTTCCAAGGAAGTTGGAGGTCTAAGGCTCAGAGATAAAAAAAATTTAATCTAAATTGGGAATTCCAAGAAGTATTGATACAGTTTGGCAAAAAAAGGTCCAGAAATAAAGGAGCCCAAATTTAGCCAGCCATATTGCTTTGAGTATATTGCTCCTCTTTCCCTTCTTTAGGAATTAAAGGGAGCTGGAGGTACAGGTAACAGTGTGCACATGACACCATGCATAACTGGTCACAACCTTGACCACATCACTTCAGGTCGGTTTGATTTTGTCCTTTTGCGGTTCTGGGACTTGAATACATGGGCCTCATGCATGCTAAGTATGCTCTGCTGGATCTAATTTTAAATGAACCAAGAACTGAGAAATATATAAACTGTACCTATAGAGCAATGTTACTTTGGTTTCATTTTACAGAATTTGCTTTAATTTGCTTATAAGCACATGCTCCCTTCCTTGGCTCAAGTTAATTTAATAATAAGTATGTTCTGATTTTAAAACTCACTGAATAATTTATACCAGTTTTAGTAATTAGATATCAAGAAATTTAAGTGGCAATAAAGTTGGGCTTAGAAGAGCTTCAACAGGGAAAAAAACTTTGGTCAGATATTGATTGATAAAGTATCACATTCTGGATCCTTAAGCAACTGCCTAGAGGCTGCCCACTGTGACCAAGGGTCTGACACGGCTCCTATTGACTGAGTAAGATAGTAGATGTTAAAAGGGGGGAAAAATCTAGCTAAAACATAAACCCAGGCTTCAGCTAACAACTAAAAAGGACCCTTGTGTACCTAACTCATGCCACAGGGAAGGAAAGCCTTACTTTTATAGAACTATCAAAGTACCTGTCATAAGCAAGCAAAAATCCCAAACTAAACTACATAGGCTAGATGACAATGCAAAGCTTCTGGTAAACCACAATTCTCTTGTTGCCTACAGGCGTACTGCAGACAAACCACCTACTTTCCAACGTTTATGTCCAACCTAAGGCCCAGGATGGGAAGTTGAGTGTGGATCAGGAACACTATCCAGAGGCTACTTCTTGTGTGTGCTTTTTAACAGAAAAAATTGCAATCAGTCTGTGAATATAATCATTTATTTGTCTTTACAGTGATGATGGAAGAATGTACAGGTATCCTCTTTCAATAAAGTATAAAAATCTGTTTATATACAGTGAAGTCATAATAATCTTTAATGGGAAATTTATTTGATACTCCTGATCTGTTTATATTAAACTGTGGGGGAAACAAATATTTCTTTTAAGTGCTACATTTCCAGTAAGACTGCACCTGCCATCAAAAACTCCATTCCATTTCAGGGTCCCACTTGATATTACAAAAGACTGATTTTAAGTCCTAGGACTCAAAATAAACATCATTTTTGAATAATAGATATATACATCAAAAATACATCTAGAAAGGCATTGGTTAGTGCTAGTAAAAAGCTCTATGTGCTCGGGTACATTTTTTTTCTTACAGGCAAAACCCAGTGGAAACGTTTTAATTCAATCTCTTGCAATTTGCTCTTGGGGAAAGTCAGTTGAAAGTTACCTGTGAAGATAAGAAAAATAATTCAATGATTTTGTGGGTGAGAGGTCAGTAGAACTCAAAACATAATAAAAGCTAAATCTCATGAAGAACCATGTTTTGAAAGTCTTGATGGAGCATTTGGTTACAGCACTGTCAGAGGAACTGTTTAACATATCCATATATTCAACATATTCCTCATGTTCAAATGTCTCATTTTGCTAACCTTTTTTTGTATAGTCTACTGAATGTGGGAAAGGAATTGAAATGATACTTTTTAAATTAATTCTTTGAGTTTCCTAAAATGTATTTTGACCATATTTGTCCCTTTCCCAACTCCCCTCAGATTTACCCCCCTGTCCCTAGTCACCCACTTTGTGGGTTTTTTCCCCCCCATTGAGTCCACTTTGTGTTGCTCAAATACTCTTGAGTATGGAGTGTGGCTGACCAAACAGGGGCCACATCCTAAGAAAAAATGACTCTTCCTCTCCCAGCAGCTATCATATGCCAATGTCTCCTTAGTTTGGGTGGGAGTTCATACCCACCCCCCATATTGGGATTTTGCCTGGCTTGAGCTTGATCAAGTCTTGTGAATGTTGTCACAACTGCTATGTGTTCATATGTGCCACTGCCTTCCTGTTAATATGTATTTCATTTTCAAAGAATCATATATATTACTGTTTATGCAAATACTTCCTATCTACAATTAACTCAGCATAAAAAGGAAACTCACAAAGCATATGAGTAAAAAATTACAACAGATAACAGTTAAATCCAAATATATTTTTGAGCAAATTTCTACTTTAATAATGATTTCTTTTATTTCACAGTGATTGGTTTATAGATGCGCTTCAGTCTTCTTCCTGCTTATCCTGAGTAAAATGGTACCGTGCAATTGCAAATTGAACCATTTATGTCTATAAGACAGCTCATTCACAGCTAGGTATCTTAACACACTTTTGTGGTTATCTACTTGCAATCATTCCTAAAGCATTTGATAACCTAGACACTTTTCTATGACTGTAAAATTTAAGCAATCCCAGAAATCTTGACATATTACTTAACCATGCAGGTCACTGTTGCTAATAAGCAACATTAGAAAGAGCGGCAGCATAAGGCAGCTGGCAGACCTCAGGGCACAGTAGGTTAGAAGACTTGGAGTCCATCTGTTATGAGCCACATGATGTTGGTCAGCTCTGTCCCTTACTCAGCAGAGTCCCACCTGTAAATATAGTCATGTGGCCATGCTCCAGTTTCTTAGGTGCATATGGGGCTAAACAAGTAGGTTAGGTAAATGTAATTTTGATAACCAAGAAGTATTCCATCCCTCGCTAACCTGCAACTGATAGTACTGGGAAAGAGGCAGTCAGTTTTCTGTAAGGGTGTGACACCGGGTAGGGTGACTAGGCTCCAGGAGATCAACTCACACCCAAGAACATTTGGGGACACAAATTGACTTGATAGGCCTTAAAAAATAATAATGGAGGACAGGAAGTTTGGGGGAGATAGTGAGGTTGGGGTAGAGATGGAGGAATGGGCCTGAATCTGATCAGAATACACTGTATGAAATTCTTATAGAATCAATAAAAATTAATTTAAAAAAATATTCCAGTGGGGTGGGTGGGGAAAAAAAAGGAAAAAATATTCCATAAGCTTCATGAGCTAATGGCCATGGTCAAATAATGCTTTTCAAGTTCAGAATAGTATATGTAAGCCTCTCCTTATAAACATGCCAAAATAATGACCACTTCTAAGGATCCTCTACTCACTCAACAATACCTAGTTTGTTACTTCTGAGGTGCATACTATGCAAAGCAATGAGCAGGTGACAGCTCTTGCACGTTGAGTGGTGCCTAAATACCTTCTGGCTGGCATGAGCTGTCTAAGTGCTATCTTGACAGCACTCTGCAAAGTAATCTATCAAGGAAGCAGAGGTCTGGTTAAGCCTCAACTATAAGGCTCTTGAATGCCCCATATTGATTTCAGGCATAAAGTCTCACAGAGAAGAGGAAAAAAAAAAAGCTGACATAAGAGGTGAGCCTTCCCAGAGTACATCTTGACACAAAGGTGCAGAACGTGTTACACCACAGGTGCAACCATGCAGATACCTTCAATGGCTTCAGAGGCACTATGGTTAGTGCATCAGAGAAAAGAACATGCATCAGACTTCTCTGAGACAGACATAACACATAATAAGTACACTCATCAGATTCCCCAAAGGCCATCCTTCCAGTTTGGAAAACAATGTCCAGAATGTCAACACAGTGTCTTCTTGTCCTCAATAAGGAAATAAAAGGCTTAAAATGGAACCAAACTAAATTCCCTCAGTAAGGAAGTAAAATACTTAAAACAGGACTGATGTGGATATAGTCTACATGGTCAGAAAACTTCAGGATAGGATGGCGTTACTGTCACCAGACCTGTAAATGTCAGACTTTATATTTATTACTAGGTTGCAGTGTTACTGTGGTATTAAGACATTCCTGAAGGAAAAAGAAGATGATGTCAACCGTTAAACTCATTCTCACTACACTCCCTACCTGTGGTCTGTTCCTCTACCAAACAGGACTCCCTTCCAGCCAGCAGCTCCAATAGAAACCTCATTCTTCCCTCTGCTCTCTCAAGCTCACTTCCAATCAGCCACCAGACAGGTTTACTCTACCACCAAACATCTCAGACCTACTCTTCTTCTCCCACCCACTGACAACACTCTCAGAACACCACCATTGGCTCTTGCCAGACTACCACAGCAACATCCCAACTGGTCCCCCTGTTTCCAAGCTTCCCCTGCTCCAATCCATGGGACCTTGAAAATAAGTAAAACTGATCATGCCACTGACCTTTCCATGGGCCCACTCAGAGTCCTGCTCTATGATTTAGAGGCCTTCCTGACTATGCTGCTGCCCACACATTCCCCACTGCTCCCCCAGCACACTACATTCCAATCACTCACCCTTTCTTTGTTCCCAGAAACCAAGCCTCTCCTTGCCGATCCTTCTAATCAAACCACTTTTTACCAGAACTCCCCTTGGCTCATTTCTATTCATCTTTCAGTACCAAGGTAAATGTCACTTCCTCAGAGGAGCTTTGTAGATCCTTCATGTATCATGTTCCCCGAAATGATTAAGATTTGGCAAGGGAACAGGCCATTGGCATATGAATGGCAGGAAGTAAGGCAAAGCCTGTCAAGACACAGAGAAGCTGGAAAGTAAGATGCCATGTGAAGCCGTGGAGATGTGAGTGTGCTTATCTAAGAAAACAAGGACTTATAGAGCAGAGCCTGCGATCCCCACATTTAATTTGTATCTTTAAGGTGAATTACATGTTCTACTTGTCAATGTTCTTCCTGTTCCGTCTGCATGTACTGTGTAGTATGAAGAATCTGCAAAAAGGGGGCGATTTTGCTTATCTTACTGCATCCCCTCACAGGCTAATGCGATACAGATAGCAGCCACCTACCTCCCTCCCTGCAGCCACTCCTCCCAACCCCAGAGTCTTTTTCTTCTCTGCTTTTCTCTCATGACACCTTGGCCATTTTTCACCATTCATTAAACAATATGAAAGCCTTCCAGGTGGCTGCCTGAGCATGACTGTCCTCACACAGTGAGAACAGAGACAATAACTTACACAGTCCTCAAATTCAGAGGGGGCCACACACAGCACTCAGGAGAGAAGCAGCTCAATTACTCAATGGGGAACAGGCTGCATTGGGGAGTGCCACGAACATGAGGCTACGTCCCTGCATCCGGGTCTGCTGCTCACTTACCTGGTCATATTCTTAAGCTTCATCTCCACTGTCCATTTCAACATCCAGCTCTTGTGTATCAGCAGCCCGGGACAAGATGTCTGCCATCAGTGCCTCTTCCAATTTCTTGCGAACTTGTTGTACTCGCTCTTCCTGTTTCCTTTTCAAAAACACAAGAACGAGAAACTGAAAATTTGGCAAGTAATAAAATATGAACTATGAAATATGCTATAAAAGTTCACCCTTACTTTAAAATCATTTGAAAAAACGTACATTTCCATCTCCTTGGACTTTAAAAAATGTTACCTCTACACTCACATACAAAACATTGCTAAATCTCGCTAGAAAAAAATAATAAAAGGATCTCTTGTCTCACTGAGATTCTGGAAGGAGCAGATAGACTTCTGTGGCCTTCTCTTCAACCTCAAGAATTTCAAGTATTTGAAGATTTGGGGTTATTACTATTTAAAAATAATTAGAAGTAACTTTAAAGCAGGGATACAAAGGGTTAGGTAGCATAGGAAAGGAAAGGGAAGGAGGAAAGGGGAAAGGAAAGGACTTGTCAGATGATGTTCTGTGAGGCTGGGCCTGCTCTAGCTTTCTATGGCAAGGTCAAGGAGAACACTACTACGCTGTCAGGGCTGCACAGGAAGCCAGGACCACTGGAGCCCACACACTGAGGCCAGAGACAGAAAGGGCCTCTCCAGTTGAGACAAGAATTGAGAGTAACTGCCTGAGAAGGCAAGAAGGAAACTGATACACAGAACCAGGCAACAGCAACGAGGCAAAAGTTGAAGAAACACGTAAGAAGGAAGACGGACAGGTACAGGTCTTGGTGAAAGAAAGAAATGAAGGGAGGTGAAGGAAGAGGCAGGGCGGCTCACTCCAAGCAGACAGGCTAGGCCCTCCCATGCGGGCAGACTAGGATGGTCAGGACAGATGCAGAGTGGGTGATGGAGATGCAGTGACAAGGAAACTGAAAAGAAAGTGATGTTCTCTCCCAGTAACTGAAGCACAACCGGAACCTGGGATAGCAGACAGGTAGAGGAACCATGCTCTGGAGGAGTCCATGAGATCCCTGAGTCCTTACTTCCTGGGGGATTAGCTAGAAGTAGAGTTCCTTTTGTTCTAGAGCCCCAGACTAAAAGACTATACCCAAGGTAAGCAAGGCAACACCTATTGTATAGCCACAAACCCTCAGATTTCTTTACTAAAAGAAACAGCACAAAGAGTTCCTCAGTATAGACTTTCAGTATTTAAATGAATTTTCAAACCAGACAGGCAGGGGGAGACAGTTACTCAGTCAATCTGTCCACAGTAGCTTCTCAAATTAAAAGAAACAAATTCAAGAGATGCTCATGTAATGAAGCAGGGGCAAGAAGAGCACATTTGTTTATTTCTTACATAGTTTGTCTTTCCTCTGACCCAATGACTTGAAATTTATGCCAAATGATACATCAGTCAACTGGCAGTCTCTCGCCACTAGTAAAAGATCATGCACAGCTCCTGGAGTAATGCCATCAGGAACACAGGGAAAATGGAGCAATGGCACTGTGGGAAGAAGGCTTGTATCTTGAGCTATAATGTCTGCCATAAAGTTTCTTTTACTCTGAACATGCTTCCTGCCTTTGTCCAGTAAATGTGCTTATTAATGGGGGTAGACAGAATTCTAAGATGTTCTCTAAGAGTTCCCCACATCCAATAGACATTCCTTGTTCAATTTTACCACATAAGAGTGGTTGAAACTTGTGGGTGTGGTATGTTATCACTCCATGGTTAGGTCTCTAATCATATAGTCATTATTAATCAAAAGGAAGATTAATCTAGTGGGCCTAACATTATCAGTCTTTAATGAGTCTGGGCATGTGGTTCGGGGGGTATAGAGAGGGGCCACATACTGAAAAACTGCAGGCAGTCTTTAAGAGTAGAGAGCAGTACCTATCCAGTACCAGCAAGAGAACAGGGGTCTCAGCCCTGCATCAAAAATGTGAACTTGAAAGAAGATCCCATACTCTAGAAGGGAAGGCAGTCCAGACAACACTGACTTCAACTTTGTAAGGCCAAGCATAGAATCCAAGCTGCCAAATCACAGGACTGTCATTCTTAAATGAGTCTTGGTTTCAGCTACTATTTGGGAGCCTCAGTCACTAAGTATCAGAATACAATTACATGCATGAATGAAAATATTAGCAAATATGCTGAAAGGAGATATACTTAATGCTGAGGTTTTAGCTAAGTGCTCACTTCAGCAGTACATACACTGAACTGAAACAGCAGAAAGATTAGTAGGCCCCGTACAAGAATCAGATCTTTAGTCAGAGGTTTATTATAAACAAAATATTGACTTCACAATTAGAGGAAGAGCGGCAATTCCATTTGAGGTCATTCATTTTGAATGTACATCAATTCGACAAGGAATATTTACTTAATAATTTCTGTTACATCAATTAAATCAAATGAGCAGTTATCAGACAATTAACCCAAAAAGGAAATCATCTACATCTGGTGTTTAGGTCATTTCCTCCTTCAAAAGTCTAGTGTTGAAGTCATTGATATTCCCAGGATATCACTCAGAGATGCCAGTCCACATGTAAATTTCTGCTATTTCTGCCTCATTCCAAGAAGGAAAAAAACCTTGTTTCCCAGGTAATTATCCTCCTCAAAGTTAAGAATGATCCAAACAGCAACTTCGCCTTGATTTTACATTTTAGTTTCTTCAAATATAAAGCTGATCACAAATTCCATGAACTTAAGGCATATGAATACAACTTTGAACTGTTTTATATCTCTGCAAAATTGATTACTTAAAAGGGGGTGATCTTCTAATTTTAAACCTAGCTAGACTCATACATTTAGGAATATTTCTATACTAACATTTTATAGATTTAGAAAAAACAAAAACAAAACATTTTTAAATTAGATGATTCAAAAGTGCCATCTGCTGGTTTTGTCTAGGAATGACACCCCACTGAAAACCTCGCACGTATTCAGATAGAAAGTGAGGTATACATAGACACTGCCATATTTTTAAAGACAACATAATATTGCCTTTAAATACTGTATATTGTATTTAAAGAACAATACGAGGGCATCATTATCATCATCACAGCAATGATACTTAAGTTTAAAAGTCCTAGAAAACTTTCCTTGTGGTCTCACTGTTCCATAGAGCTATTTTTCTGGAACAAGCGTTTGCTTATACTTTCAGGGTGCTGTCAGCCTGAGCTGAGTTTTCCTTTTACTGTTGGTGTCTGAATGCCTAATTTGTGACTCAGCCTTACAAAGAATGAAAGATGTTACTGGTGCAACTATGTCCTGTCAAATTCCTGACTCTGACCAGTATACCTCTTTGCTCTGTCTCTCTCATTTGCTTCTCATCTTGCTCTACTGTGTGTCTGTGTGTGTGTGTGTGTGTGTGTGTGTGTGTGTGTGTGTGTGTCTGTATGTCTGTCTTTCTGTCTCTTTGGAATCACTTTAAATCTTTATATGCAACAAGGAAATAGAGATAAGTAAACATCTAGGTTGAGCTTGCATGAAATAAACAGAATCCTGACAACTACACTGAACACAACTGATCTTTAAAGCAGCATGGCTAGCTTAGAGAAAGGCTGGTTTTCAGAAGAATGGTGATGGTGTGTGAAGGAAGGGGCTAGTGGTACTACTTGGAGGTAGGGCACTTGCCTAGCATGCTGGAGGCCTGGGATTTAATCTCCAACGCTATAAAAAATCAAAACTAAAAGGGAAACACAAAAAAAAGGCCTGACACATGGAAGGGCCTTACTAGAGCAGAGCTTCAGAAGCACACACTGCAAAGCTGGCACACTGAAGCTAACTGAACTGTAGTGGACACCCTGTGATCATCCCTCTGGTCCACAGCACTCTGCCTTTTTCAGCATATATTTCTTACAAAGATCTTTCAAACATTTCATTCATTTCAGAAAAGTTCTGTAAAAACAAAACGTGTCTTTCTGCTTCCTTCATCACTTATAGATTTGGGATCTTTCATCTAAAAAATTTGGTACCAAAAGGCTTTCATAGTTTTTGGATTTTGGAGCAACTGTATACGCAAAGAAAGAAACCTTGGGAATGGAACCTAAGCCTGAACTCTAAATTCACATACGTTTCATATTCATCTCATACACACAATGTTAAAGTAATTTACATATTTTTAATAATTTAGCATAAGAAACAAAGTTCAATGACATGAAGTTGTTTACTTATGGCATCATTGCAGAGCTCAAAGGGCTTCAGATCTTGAGGCACCTTGGTTTTTACACTGTGGGTTAGAGATATTCAACTATACTAGCTGTGGCACTGAACCTCACAGATAGCATACAATTTATCTATAATCAAAACCTAAGTTTATAAAGTTATGTTAAATGCCTTACCTAATGTCTTCATCTGTGACAATGAAGGCTTTGCAGAGGGGTTGAGATGTGTTAAGCCAAACAGCAGGGTTCTTTTCCACAGCGGCAGAGACCTGTCCTGTGATCGGAGCAGAGCTTGTGTGCAAAGCACTGGCAACAGCAGAGAGAAGGGTCTCATCATTACTACCTGGACCAACTCCTGCAACGAGAAAGCAGTACCACTGAGTGGAACACGCTCGACCCTGAGCAGGCCAGGTGCTACAGAAGCCAACCAGTATTCTCACACTCATCTGGGTTCATATAACTAAAGTCTGAAACACACCAAAGCCACAAAGGACAATACATACCACTTCCTAGGCACTATATACCAAAGAACGACATTAAAGAAACAGTGACAAAAGAGCTAAGCATATTTACTTACTTACTTATTATTTATTTATGTCTTTTTGAGACAGAGTCTCCCTGTAGACCCAGCTGACCTGGAACTCGCTATGTAGACCAGGCTGGCCCTGAACTCACAGAGATCCACCTGCCTCTGTCTCCCCAGTGCTGAGATTAAAGGCATGCACAACCACAGCTGGCTAAGAGCTAAGCATTTTAAATCAGACTTTAATTTTAAAATATATTTCCTAAGGTCCTAAGCTTTTGGAAAAGTTATCCACATTTCCTAAAAAAGAGTTAATTTATTTAAAATTATCTAAGACCCACATAAATGCATTATGCTGTGTAGACTCAATATCCCTATTAATGTAGCCTGCATTGGTTTCTTCTTATCACTTTTAATATCAACTCTCAGGAATATCTCTATGCTTATTAACTTCACTCCAGGACTTCACAGGAAAAGTCAATGCAAGCAGGCCACATCTGCAACTTAGCTTTGTTTTTGATTTTTAGAAGATTTCATTGATTGCTTTTTGCTTTAAAATACATCTTTAAGTTATCATAATGACAGATACGAAACAATAGGGTACAACTAAATACAATTCTCAATAGATGCCCACTGCTGATAGAATAAAGATTTTACTTTGTTTCCGTGCAACGAGCAAACGGAGGGTTGATGGAAACACTAGACAGGTGCTATTTTCTTACTCACAGGAGTTGTTTAGGTTTGCCCAGACAACCACATCAATTTCTGCCTGTTTGGATTACTCCACTGATGTTCCCCAATACCTGGTTCTGCAGATCTTTGCATATATGATCTTCCTAAAAGGCTGTATCTTCATAGAGGAAAGAATCTATTTATGCTGCCACTGAAACACTTAGGACAGCACTGGCATCACTCCAGCATCCTGCCAGAACAATACAGCCGTAGTGTAGATCTGAAGGTTCCCCTAAAGGGCCGTGTGTTAAAGGCTTGTTCCTCAGCCTGTGGCATTTTGGGGAGATGGTGGAGCTCACAACTTAATCAGCCTTTTCAAATGCCCAACCAAACCACCAGATTCACAGAATAAGTGCACACCCTGACTACTTATAGGGTACTCTCACCACAGCAAGATGTAAGTTAACAGATTAAAGTGCTGAGATTGTTGAATTAAAGTAATAATTTCCAAGAACACATATGAATAAGACAATAGCCCAACTGTATATTTGGAAGATTTTTGAGAAATCTACAATATGTCAAGACTGAGGAATAACATTCTAATACTCGAAAAATACTACTACTGCAGAACGTGATGTGACCACATGACTTGACAAGCAGACTGAACAACTTGGTCCCTAACTCCAGATCTCACTAGCCAATGTCATGGACCAAAGTACATATTCCCAGTGCGACTCAGAGCAGCAGTTTGTGAAGGGAAATGCAGGTGAGTTTTTAGTTGTTCTTTTGGTATACGAAACAAGAGGAAGACAAATGTTGGGGTGAGATGCTGCTGTAAGCAGGAAGCTTGAGAAACCCTCTGTTCATCTGCATTCGGCACTAAAAGCAGCACATGGTTAAAGTAGATGACGAGCCTAACCTAGAGCCAAAAGTTTTACACAGAAGAAAAGGCAAACCTAATGATATACTACACAGAAGTATACCTACAACAAATAAGTTTGTCATGTATGATTTCCCTGGGTTTATGACACAAGAGACACACCATCTAGCAAAGCACCCGGTCCCCCCCAAAGCAAAGTCTCGCTGATATGGGTCGATTATGAATCCACAGCACCTTATACAGTGCCTGGCACACAGTTGGTACTTAATAAATATCTGCTCAACTAAACTTAGATAATACCTTGAAGACCTTTAGGTAGTTCCATGGTTTTTATAATTTGTTCTGTTACATCTGATGCACTAAGTCCTTGTAGCCTCTTCTCCCAGAAAAGCTGTAAGGCAAAATATCACTGTTAATAGATACATTCTTGACACAAGAAAGTAGCGCATCGATGCTGTTGAATAATGATGTTGAAGTCACTTCAGTAGTTTCCTACATTTTTTATTTTTTCCTTACAACAGGCTAGATGGTACTCCAAACATGAATTATTTCAACACATCATTAATTCCTTCAGATGGCACTGTCCAAAAAGAGCTTATATTATTTTTATAAACTTATTTGTCACAATATTATAGATTTTTATATGCTATATGTAATTCCTTATAAGGTATCTTTCAAAAAACATAATTTGAGTTTTTAAAAATTTGGCATAAAATTTCAATGCAAAAATTTATCAGAAAAAGAAAACAAATAATATCAGTATGGAAACATTATTTTTCTAAGACATTATGTTTAACCTTTCCGCATACTTTACTGGGTCACCCTAGTCACTTGGTGGCCCCAAATCATCATTCTGGGCATCAGTGATCACTAAAAGGTGCTCCACACCTCAGGGAGCTACTGCAGTGTGCAATGAATCATTCCAGCACCGATGGTACATATCTGCCTCAGATACTTCTTATGCTTCAGTCTTTCTCCGCTGGCTAGTACCTCTCACTACAGTGGTCCACCCATTCAGCATCTATTCACTGAGCTCCTACTACACACTGTTCTTGTCCTGTGGATGCAACAGTCAGTAAGGCAGACATGCTTCTTCTCCCGTTTCTTTTCTAGTCTTCATCATATTTACTGCAGACAAAAACAAAAACAAAGACAAAACAAAAAAAAAGGATTCTAAAAGGTGCTCTTTCCTTTCTTTAACCGTAGATGCCAGGACCTGTTATATCACTGGTACTGAAACCATTTGTTGTTAAATGAGCAAACACTGAAGCAACTGGATGAAGGACATGAAAGACACTTGAACGCATCTGCAAATCCCAGCTCTACCACCTGTGAGATGCAGAACTCTGGACATGTTTACGACCTCTTCAAAGCTTAAACTTCCTCTTTGGTACATGTTGGAGCAATAGCCATCACATGAGACTATGGTAGAGAGTAAATGAGGCAGTATGTATCTATCAAGCACCCATCAGATAGTGAACATAAATCTTATCATGTTAACTTCTAGCAAATTTTAGCTGCTTGCAGGGATTGGGGAGCTTAATATGCAAAATATAAGACAACCGCCCTCCAGACAGGAGAGAAGATAGGGTAGCATAATTCTATTTATAGCAGAATAGTAGTATGTTGGATTTATTATAACCCCAAAGATAGCATAAGAGTAACCTTCAAGAGAATGTCTTACTGTCCTCTAAAGGTATTCGGTACATAGTTACAGCTCTTATTTTTATCTACAAATGATATCTTCTGAAGAACATGTGGCCAACATAAGCAGGTCAACAATAGAGGACAGAAGTACATTATCATAAATATAAAAATTCAATGAAAGCAGCACTTGATGATTATCATAAAGGTCCCAGGAAATCTTGCTTGCTTGCTTTCTATTTACTCCTTGGTAGGAAAATATCATCTTTTATTTGAATATTACAACTGTTCTAAAATGAAAAGCAAGGAAAATAAAGCCCAGTTAAATTGCTAATTAATATGTGAAGAATTTGGGGCTGGAAAGTTGAGTGTCAGTAAAAGAGGACCTAAGTTAGATCACACAGAACTCATGTACAAGTGCCAGCCATGATGACATGGGCTTGAAATTTCAGTACTGGAGAGGCAGAAACAGGCAGACCCCCGGGGCTTGCTGGCCAGACAGCCAAGCCTAATAGGTAAGATAGGCCAATGAGTGACCCAGTCTCAAAGGAAGTGAATGGCATTCATGAGGATAACACCCAAGGTTGTCCTCTGGCCTCCATCCACACAAGCACCTGTGTGAACATACAAACATAAATGCAAAGGTACATGTGTGTATACATACAGACAGACAGGCAGACCTTCCATTTCACTCAGGTTCTACATTCACTGATCAACTCCAGAAATATTCAGAAATACACATACTAAGAAAAATTATGTATGCTCTGGACGTGTGCAAACTTTTTCCCTTGCCCTTACTCTCTGAACACTCAAGTATGACAATGCATTATAATAGAAGTAACCTAGCCATGAGCTAAAATATAAAGGGGGATGTGCATGGGTTATACGCCAGTATTATACCAGCGTAAGATGGAGGTACACCAGCATTACACAGGAGACTGGAGCATCTTATAAATTTTGATACCATCAGAGATTCTTGAACCAATCTCATGAGGATATTGAGAGATGACTCTATAACTCAACTTGCAAAACTAAATCAATAGTACCAAAAATTAAAGTGTGGGGATTACAGATTGATATGATTGCAAATATTTAAAAATTCTAAGTTGCGCGTGGTGGCGCATGCCTTTAGTCCCAGCACTCAGGAGGCAGAGGTAGGCAGATCTCTGTGAGTTCAAGGCCAGCCTGGTCTACATAGTGAGTTCCAGGCCAGGTGGTGCTACAGGAAAACCCTGTTTCAGAAAGACCAAAAA